TCTCTCTCTCTCTCTCTCTCTCTCTCTCTCTCTCTCTCTCTCTCTCTCTCTCTCTCTCTCTCTCTCTCTCTGAAAAAAATACTTCTTGAAATGTATCCCAAAAAACACACGGGAAGGTTCGAACTGAAGGGTCTATACTGGTTCGACAATTGGGATAGGTCCGTAACACGAAATGTTGTGGATGATTATACGGTGCTTGTCTTTTCCATCTCTCAACCCTCTGGCGTGATATTTTGTCATTTCTTGCGGACTTCATCTCTCTGTCTATCTCCTGTGGATACATCCGAACTTTGGTTATCTTGGAAATTTACATTGCCTAGTTGCTCTACTACAACGATCATCTAAAATGTTTTTAAAAGCGAGGCTGATGATCTACGCATGTGCTCGACCCTGCGCCTCGAGAAAATGAAGTACAGTCTCTTTGAGACTCTCTGTCTCTCGCTCTTTCTGTCTCTCTCTCTCTTTCTATATCTCTCGCTCTTCAAATGTACACGACCATTTCTTGCGGACTTCCTCTCTCTGTCTATCTCCTGTGATCTCGGATACATCCGAACTTCGCTTGTCTTGGAAATTCACATTACCTTGCTACTCTCCTACAACGATCATCTAAAATGCTTTAAGAAGCGAGGCTGATGGTCTACGCGTGTGCTCGACCATGCGCCTCCTGTGCGGCGTCTCGAGAAAATTAAGTACATTCTCTCTGAGACTCTGTCTCTCGCTCTTTCTGTCTCTCTCTCTCTTCCTATCTCTCTCACCCTAAGTCTGTGAAGAGCCACAACTCGATGTACTCCTCGCAAACTCGAGTTCATGTCATTATACTGTTCTGATTCGAATGAGTATGATGCTAAACTCCAAGTGAAGTTAAAACACAGTGTAATATATTATTCTGTTGTGGTGTTCCACATCTGGACACATCCGAACCAGGAGAGGAGCGCAACAGATATATGTACTGAGGCAGTAGATACATGTATTGACTCAGAGGCGTATAACACAGTGTAATATACTCTGCTGTGGTGTTCCACATGTGGACATATCCGAACCACGAGAGGAGCGCAGCAGATATATGTACCGACTGTGCTCCTCGTCTCAAAGCTGATTTTACTCCAAGTTCGGATGTATTCGGATCTGGAATACCACCAGACTATACATTGCGTCATAAATTCGTTTCAAAATAGTACACACAAGAATGTACTGTTTTAACGAATAACATGTTCAGTCCCACACCTTCACACGGACTAGTAAACTATACTATTCGCTGGCATGTGGGCCGAGGCCCCGGGTAGTGTAACGAGGGGCCAAGTCCCACAAGATGGTGTTCTGCATTTCTGGCCATCGATCTTTGGATTCCCGCCACCATCGGCAACAAGGATGAAGAACACACACCAGTGGGACGTAGCCCCAGTGCCCTTGTGCGCCTTGTGTGGCGAAGTTGGGCGGGAGCGAATTGTGCGGTAGAACGGCTATAGAGCAGTGTGGACGGTGCCACGGTGGGGGAGGTGGAGGAAGGTGGAGGGAGGTAAAGTAGTACCAAAGGGAAGCAGTGGAGAGCGGTAGGGCAGTAGAGTGGAAAGGACGGGGGACTTTAGGAAAAGAAAGAAAAAAAGAAGCGCCGGAGATTATAAGGACGGTAGAGAAAACGGGGTGAACGAAGGGTCGTAGAGCAGTAGACCGTGAGCGCAACGAAGAAAAGGGGGTGCGAGCGCAAACCGAACAAGGATACGATGAGAGGGGGACAGAGGTACAGGTGCGGGTTCTATGGCTGTGGAAGGTGGAGTGGTAGAGGTGTGAGGTTGAGGCCCTTGAGGGCGGTACGAACACGAACGCAGCTGCCCTCATTAATATCACCTTTCCTCACTGGGCACTGTCATCCACACAAGCATGCAACAGAGAGCAATGTCGTCCTCCTTCTCTCCTCCTCCTACTCCTCCTTCCCCCCCTCCTTCTACGACTCCTCCTCCTCCTCCTCCCACGCCTCCTCTTCCTTCTATTTCCGCTGTCGTTCGTCTCCGCCTGTTGCTTGCGTGCGTCGTTAACTTCATGGACAACACCCGCTCTGAGTCTGCAAAGGATTTCCCGAAGCTTGAGGATCGCTTTGTGGCGCCGAGGTTGGCTACCGTCTTCCCCCGAATACAACGCACCCTCATTTTGGCTGTAATACATTCATTATCAGGGTGCGTTCTGTTCGGGGGAAGATGGTAGTAGTTTGTCGGTGCTCGTTCGTTCCACGTGTCGCTCGAGGTTGGATCATTTGACACGTGGCTGAAGTTGGGTCGTTCCTCGAACCGTTGAGGCTGCATCGCTCTGTACGTCGCTGAGGCGATACTGCTCGGTACATCTCCAAGACCGGATCGTTTTCTACACTTCGCTAAATTTGGATCTCGGTGATACGTGGCTGAAGCGATCGCTAAACACGTTGTCGGGCAACCGAACCCCGGTCGGTCACCCTACATTCGGCAGATCTGCCTCTAGATTAAATGGTAAGACGGGAATAGA